TAGAGAGAATAGTGCAACAATGAATGAGTGGAAGCCCAAAATCTCTGTAAATGTTTATGAAAATTAATAAAATATAATTATAGAAGAAAAAAAAAGAAAAAAATCTCATTTTTCACTCTACAAAGTACTGATGAGCAATAATGTCTGTCTGGAGACTCAGATGGGCCTGATCCAGAACACGGTCTTTGCAATAACTTGCTATGCATCAGAAAGCTGGACAATAACTAGGGATGATAGAAGGAGAATTGATGCCTTTGAGCTGTGGTGCTAGACTGTTAGAAGAAACAGGTTCGTCCTAGAGAGGGTTAAACCAGGCTGCTCTGTGGAGACAAGGATTCTGAAGCTCCCTCTGACCTACTCTGTACATGCTGGAAGGAGGGACCAGTCCTTGGAGAGGAACGTCATGCTTGGGATGGTGGAGGGACAGCACAGGAGAGGAAGATCCTCTATAAAATAGACTGATTCAGTGACTGGGGAAATGGGGTTAGATGTGTCAGACAGTGAGAGTAGCACAGGATAAAGCAAGGTTTAAGGCTGTTGTACATAGCATTGCTATGAGTCGCAGTAAACTTGATGGCACAAAACAATAACAACATTTTTCACTTGAAAGTTTTCATTTTCTTCCAGGCATCAAATACCATTAGCTGTTTATCTTGAAGTAACTGTTACTGTTGTTGTTAGGTGCCATCAGGTCAAATACAACTCATAGTGAACCTATAAACAACAGATCTGAACCCTGTCATATCCTGTACCATCCTCACAATATCTGCCATACAGGAGCCCACTGCTGCTGTCACTTTATAAGTCCACCAGGTTGAGGGCTTCCTCTCCTTCAAAGTGACTAGCTTATTTAATTCATTTCCAAAAAGCCATCTAACACCTAAACATGAATAACAGTATCTCTCAGTTACACGTTAAAGTTTAAAAAACAACAAAAAACAAAAAAAAAGTGCTCCATGAATAAAGACGTTTTCCTTTCCTAAGATGACTATTAGACTTCAGAATGCACATAAGGGCTTTCTTTATGCATACTTCCCATCTTAGCACACAAAATTTTATAAAGATTGTATTTTGTGTCAAGGGTAGAAATGTAATGAAAAGAATAAAAACTTCGCATCATCAAACACTTTTTAAATGAAATTTACTTCTTTTTCTTCAGGAATACAAGACAAAATGACTACTAACACTGTTTGAGACCACTGCCATAATTCCTACTAAAACCAAAATCAAACTCAAGGCCAATGAATTCATTCCAACTCGTCAATCAGGTTTTTCAGGCTGTAAAATTTTATGGGATGAGACTGCCGTTCTTTCTCCCACAGAGGAGCTAGTGTATTCAAACCACCAACCTTTCTCTTAGAAGCTTGACACTTAGGAGGGCATAAACATTTACCCATCATTGATAGTAGCACTGGAAGTACAAATGTCAACAGTAAAATTGGCAAATAATGTGTTGGTATTATGAAAATAATTTTTATGTCAGTAGCAGAAGTTTGGCAGGTCAGGGACACTACAACAGGCTCCATTAATTTTATTGCATGCTATAATCTATGTTGGCCTAGAGGACAGAAAGTTATGCTACCAAGCCCAAGGTGGGTGATATTAATCTGCAGCCCTCAGGCCTAGTTTAAATTGTTTTTTGTCAAACATTCCTCTAACTAACACAGCACTGGTTTGTGCATTGTTGTACAGAGGTAACTCATGGTTGCTCTGGTGTTAAACACTGTGACAATGATGCCAAACGCAATAATGGTTTCCCATGGTGGACAGAGTTTAGTGGAGCTTCCTAATTAAAACAAGCTTGGAAGCAGGAGTGGCATCCACTTCCGAAATGGCTTGCCTCCAGAAACTCTATGAACAGTGCTCAGATCTTTCGTTCATAGGGTCACTATGAGTTGTCTACCACTCGACGGCACTTAACAATAACAACAAGGTGGTAAGAATCTCGAGGTCTTCTAGGACTCCACAGAACATACTTTGAGAACCACTGTCTTAAAAGAAATCAAAGTATAAAGTCTCTAATAAGAATGTAATAGTTGCATCAAATCTAACTTTAATAAGCACTACAAATTCTTGCTTTATGCCATGCTATAAATTTGCTTCTTAAATAATAGGCACAGACCCATTTATTTTACCATGATTCAGTCTTATACAATTTATCTAAAATGTTTATATAATCACATTTATGCTGACAAAAGGATTATGTATTCAACAAAATAAACAATTAAAAAAAACTCCTGATAAAAAGTTTCCTTTTAGATATATAAGACAAGAAAAATACTCATAATAAATGCCATACTTAGTATACTTACTGTAACAGAGTTTGACTTTGTTCCATCTCATCTTGAGACTGCCAGAAAGAAAATCAAGAATTTGTTCTGTTAAATGTCAATGCAAAAGCAACAAAGTAAATATTTCTTAACATATAAGAAAGTTTGATATTATTACTTTTTGTGAGCTACTTTAAAAGAATTTGTGGAACTGATGAGGAAAGAAAAAGAGGAAGATCTTTCACAAGCTAGACTGACACAGCAGTTCCAACAATGGCCAAACAAAACAATGGTCGTGAGGATGGGGCAGAACTAGGTAGCATTCTGTTCTCTTAAGCAAGGGGTTACGATGACCAATTCGCCAGCACCTACCAAGAAGTGGAGAGAATAGGAACTATATTCTTTCTATTTGCGCTTTCTCCTATTTCACTAATCCATGACAGTTCTAAGAAGCTATTTTGGTCAGCTTCTGAGTTTCACTATTTCCTGAGGACCAGAGATTATAAAAGAAGAAAAATATTATGTCAAATGTTTTACTTGTCATAAAATAGCACTTGGCATTAAGCTCTTCTTTAATTATACAACAAGTACTGGGTCAGGGATTTATAACTTTTTCTCTGAAGGGACAGAAGAGTAAATAGCTGAAGTTTTGGATATTGACCAGCAAAAGATAATATTCTGCCTATCTGGTGGCCCAGTGGCAAGAAGCTGTGCTATAATCCCAAAGACAATCAGTTCAAGGCCATCAGCTGCTCTACGGGAGAAGGATGGGCAATCTCCTCCTGCATGATTAACTACCGATGAAAACCTGCTGGAGGATCACCTATGGGTTGGTTCTGACTCTACGGTACACAATAACAACAACAACAAAATTAAGGGAGAAATTTTTAAAAATATTGATAACACTTTAATAAGTATAATTATTTAATGCAGATCTACTAATTAGAACTCATTTTGATGGGGTTAGTATTTCACTTCATTAGTATTCAGTTCAAAGGCAGTGTTGCCTATCATCAACACTGAATACAAATGTTCATCTGTCAATGCTGATATAAAATTGTTGTTGTTACGTGTCATTGTGTCAGAAATGACGGTTAGCTGACTCATCAGCAGGTTTTCAGAAGCTTTACATTGCAGAAGAGGAGACTGCTCATCTTTCTCCTTTTCTTCCACTGAGGAGATGCTGGATTTATACCACCTGCCTTTGAGTTGGTACCATAACTCCTTACCACTAGGCCATTAGAGTTTCCTAATCTATAAACTTTATATATCTGAAATCTGAAAATGACTTTTCATAGATAAATACTTTAAAATACTGAAACTAACCCATGAGCAAAATCTTTTAAAAGCGGATTTATCTTGTTTTTGTTTAGAATACGCATAGTAAAACATGCACCAATTCAACAGTTTCCATATCTGGAAAATTTAGTAACATAAACTATATTCTTCAAGTTATGCAATCATTTTTATTCATTTCTTAGTTGTTCCCCCCACATTAAAATTAATTCACTGTCCCCTAAGATTTCTATCTAATCTTCCAAGTTGCTAGAGTCACTTTGATCTTGCACAGTATCTCTGCAAAGATCATAAGTCTCAATGCTGACAATAGTTTGGTTTTACAAGGACTTCAGGGAATATTTCTTTTAATTAAGATTTAAAGATTATCCTAAGGCAACCATTATCTCATGTTTCAAGTATTTTATCTAGCTTCCACATGCTGCAATGGACTCTTGTGTGTCAGAAAGTGTGAAGATGTCACAGAATAAAACAGGGCTCAGATCTTTTGTTTAGATGGCCCCTTTGAGTCGTACTCAACTCAATCACACGTAACAACAACAATGGTTCCATCAAGTCTAAGGTCCATGAGAATTTGAAATTTGTATTTTCTCTCTTTTGACCACAATTTCTCTATAGAATCCCTCATTAAAATGTTCTATAATGATAGGTTTGCACCATCTCATTCTTCTGGTCTCATGACAAAAGTGGTAGTTCTCATGGAGGCAATTAGTTACACACTGTTTCATTCTCCTACACTAACACTCCCTCTTTCCCTGCTGCGCTAGCCAGAGACTTGCAATTATTAGATTTCTAGGCAATGCATTGTTGTTGGTTGTTGTGTGCCCTGGAGTCAGAAACAAATCATAGTTGACCCTTCAGCAGGTTTTCATATGGAAGGAGATCAGTTGACTGATTTGAGTCACATGTTTTTAGGAATGCAGCACAGCTTCTTACCACTAGGCCACCAGATTATGCAAAGGCATTTTACCGTGTGGATCACAAAAAATTGAAGCCAACATTGTGAAAAATGAGAATCTCAGAACATTTGATCGTGCTCATGTGAAACCTATACTTAAATCAAGAAGAAGTCATTAGAACAGCAAGGAAAAACACTGCATAGTTTAAAATCAAGAAAGGAGTGTGATAGAGATGTATCTTGTCTCCATAATTCTTAAAAGGCATAGCTGTCACAGTCGACTCAATGGCACATAACAACAACAACGTGGGCAATATGTTGAATGGTCCAGGAAGCATCACAAAAAGAGGGAAATATATAGAGTCACTGTACCAAAAGAATTGACACTGAAAATTTTCAGGAAGTACCATAAGAACAAGAGCCAGAGAAAGAGGTTCAAGCTGCACTGAAGGCACTGGCAAAAAATAAGGCCCCAGGAATAGATGGGATACTGACTGACATGTTACAACAAACAAATAAAGCCCTGGATATACTCACCAGTCTGTGCCAAGAAATTTGGAAGACAGCTGTCTGGCCAACTGACTGTAAAAGATCCATATTTGACAGAAACAAAAACATGGAAAGATGCAAGATGGCGGCGGAGGCAGAGACAGTGTGGTGAGCTGCGGGAGCAGCGAACCACTTAAAGCAGGGCCATTATGGTCTCCTACAGACTTCAGCTTATTGATAATTGAACACTTAAACAGTTGATGACTGGCCCTCAGTGACGATCTAGGCTCAACAACAGGAATTCAAGGATTCCCAAGGAGGAATGGGTGAGTCTCGTGGCTCCCAACCTCCGTCCCACAGAGCCCGTGCTGCGCTGCACAGCCGCTGCAGCTCCATGAGGCTTCCACAGCAGGAACCAATGGATTCCCTCACCCAGGATGGATGCTGGGCACCAGTCCTCCTCAAGACTGGTACAGTGAAGCCACCACACTGCCGCAAGGTAGACTTGTTCTGGAGAGAATTCTTGGAGCCAGGATGGCAGC